GCCCCCCCCCCCCCCCCCCCCCGGGCTGCCCCTCTTGGAGGTTTTGATTTGCGTTTCCCTGATGATGAGTGATGTTGAGATGGTTGTTATTCTTTTTCAACATTTTTACTTGGCAAAACAGACTGACCATGCTGAATTGGAATCTTTTTTTTTTTTTTTTTTGACTTCTGTCAAATCCCAATGATGTGGAATCGCTGCTCTAAAGAAGGTGAAGACGTAATCAGGAGCGGAGCCCCCACTGGCGAAAAAATAGGCGGATGTTTTTAGTGGAGGATTTTGAAATTACGATAAAAATTCCTACTCATGTGCACTCTGGGCAGGGAGTGAAGGAAGGGGCAATGGAAGGAGAGGGACAGGGCATGTTCCGAGAAGGCCAGCGGTGTTTGGTTGAGGGAACAGGGCCGGCAAGAGCACGTCTGAAATAGTGGGCACAGCCAGCGTGACGCTGAACACGTGCGCAGAGAGAAGACGATGGGCGAGTCGGGTGTTTACTGCTAACCTGCTCCAAAACGAAAACTCGAATCAAAATACACGCAGCAAGCACGGTCCCCGCGATGGCATCAGACACGGACCAGTTTGCACACGTCGGATAAACTGCCGGAATCCTTGCAGTCGGTCTAGTTCAGGGGGGATAGAGTCACGCAGGATCTCTTTCTCACTGTGTTCGCCTCATTGTCTGGTGATTACAGTGACGACAGGGTAAGTACAGGCGATGACAATCTTGTTCTACCCGCGTTTCCCAACACCCAGCCCTACCCAGCAGGACCGACCTGGTGCCCACACTACAGAAGGACCAGCCTTGCGAGAAGCAGCAGGTCACAAGCAGTAAAGATCCAGGTGGGCACGTACCGTGACCCCAGGAGGGCTTGGCGCGGGGCGGACCTCGTGGCCATTGTCCCCTCGCCGAGTCACGGGTCACTGCTGCCCGTAAACTCCTGACACACTTTCCAGGTGAGCAGAAGTCCCCATCCTGATAGTAAAACTATGTCTCATTGCTAAGTAGCTCAAAAGTCAAAAAGCCAGCTCTACGAGGGCAGCATCGGAACGACGGTATGTGATTAGGACAACTGGAACCATCTTGCCGGGTCATGGACTCATTACGTCTGTTGTGTGATTGCCTCTTTCTGAACCAGATAACATTGGAATTGGTAATGGTCAAGAATCAAATCCGATGCTTTATCTCTGATAAATATCTCGTTTTCAGTATTTATGAGGAGACGAGGATTTCCGGCGGTTGAGGGACAGAATAATTCAGGGATATCTCCTCGCTCTGAGAGACCTGACCCCAAAATTAAGCCTAAATGTATATTCTGTGTTTATTGATCTGTGGGTGACGGTGGGATTGATGTCTCCTCACATTCTGCGCGTGGGCGGATCTCGCTGTCGGAAACACGAAGCTGATGCCCCCAGCATCTGTCTCCCGGGAAAGCGCTTGGGATTTGGCAATGTGATGACGAGTAGGATGGAGCCTCTGTTCTTAGGAGGCTGATAATCCCGACAGGACACATGAGGTGTTTGTGCATGACTCTGCTGAGGGTAGACAGCGAGGAAGTGCTGGAGAGAGACACAAAGGAAGTGAGAAGGGACAGATTTCTCCTGGCCGCAGTGTGGAGGGCTCATCCTTGACCTTCAGGATGGGGTCCAGGAGGAGGAGCTAAAAACATTCGATATCTTAGTAACTAAGACAGGGGCACACCAAGAGGAAGGGAAGGGCAATCCCGAAAGATGAAGCAGCGTGAGTCTGAGAGCGCAGGGCTTTTCCCACGGGGGTACCTGGGCAGGTACGAGGAGAGGAGTGTTAGGTTGGCAGACGGGAAGACAAGACGGGCCTCAGGAGTTTTGAGAACCACACTGGAGACTTTAACCTCGTTCCATTTGTGATTATTGCAGCCACCGTTCTTTGTCAACTCAGCCGATGGAACTTACTCCTATTTCCCCCTTTGCTGACGGAGCCATAATAATCATAAACTTTGCATTTTACAGATCGTCAGCGTTCATAAAATGGTTTTGTAGGTGTTTGACCCAAGGAATAGGGCTTGAGCTGATGGGTCCTTTATGTGGACAGCCCTGGAGGAAGGAGGGAGGGCGGGGAGGTTGAAAGGTCTGGGAAAGACTTGGGAGAGCCAAAAAGACAAAACGAAGGCCATGAAGTAGAGCAGCCATAGGACACACCCAGGAACCTTCTGGAATATAAAAATGTACAAAAGTCACTTTGCATAATACTGGAAAGGCAATAACTTTCTTTCTAACCACTCTGGGTTGATAATAACACACTTAGTTTGATTTGACTCATTCTAACGGACGGCTTAATCCCAAAACAGAACTGTAAGAGCTGTGCTGACTGAGGGCGGGGTCCAGCCAGAAGGCTCTCGCCACCCGCTTTCACGGGCCCTCCTGCCACTTTCACACCCCCCAGGAATATCAATTGTCTTTTATTTATTTTTTTAAGATTTTATAGATTATTTATTTGAGAGAGACAGTGAGAGAACACAAGCAGGGGCAGAGGCAGACCCCCGCTGAGCGGGGAGCCTGACACAGATCTTCCTCCCAGGACCCTGGGACCATAACCTGAGCCAAAGGCAGACGGACGGACGCTAACTGACTGAGCCACCCAGACGCCCCATCGTGAATTGTGTTAAACACGGATGGACTGAAGTGGGCTGAACTGTGTTTCCCCCAGAAGAGATGTTCAAGTCCTAACCCCTACATCCGTGAATACGGTGTGGGAAGTAGGGTTTTTGCAGGTATCCTCAGGTTAAGATGAGGCCCAGGAGAGGAAATCCCAAGAATTTGCATCACAAGGAAAGACTTTTCTTTCCCTACCTCGCTTTCCTCTTTTTCATTTTTTTTTTTTTTGCATCTGCATGAGATGATGGATATGACCTGCCCTTTCTGTGCTGACCAGCTCACTACACATGGAAGTTAAGTGACTGCGATACACCCCACAGTGACACAGCACTGGACTTTATCAACAATGAACTTTATCTCAATAAAGCTTGGGGAGAATCAAGAGGAGTTCACCCTGGGTTAGGGTGGACCTTCGATGCAATGACTGGCGTCCTTTGGAGAACAGGCGATTTGGCCACAGGGTGGATGAGGCACAGAGGGAAGGAGGCCATGGGAGGCAGAGGCCGACAGAGGCACAGCAAGTCAAGAAACGCTAAGAGTTGCCACCAACGATCAGATGTTAGAAGAGGCAAGAGAAGATTCTTCCCTGGAAGCTCCCAAGGAAGATTACGTAGCTCTGCTAACCCCTCGATTTTGGATTTCCAGCATCTGGACTTTTGAGAGAATACATTTGTGTTGTTCTTCTTTTTTTTTTAAGATTTTATTTATTTATTCATGAGAGACCCAGAGAGAGAGGCAGAGACACAGGCAGAGGGAGAAGCAGGCTCCATGCAGGGAGCCCGATGCGGGACTCGATCCCAGGACCCCGGGGTCACGCCCTGGGCCGAAGGCAGGCGCTAAACCACTGAGCCACTCGGGCTGCCTATTTCTGTTGTTCTAAGTCCTTGGTTTGCGGTCATTTGTTCTTGAGCTCCCAGGAAACTAATAAAATTGAAAAATATTGAAAAATAAAATAAAAAGATAAAATAAAACTAGAGATTGTCAGGGTCCCGGGGGGGGCGGGGGGGCTCAGTCGGCTGAGCACTTGACTCTTGATTTGGGCTCAGGTCATGATCTCTGGGTTGTGAGATCGAGTTGGGCTCCATGCTCAGCAGGGAGTTTGCTTCTCCCTCTTCCCTTGCCCCTGCTTTCTCTCTCTCTTTCTCAAATAAACGTTTTTTTTTTCAAGAAAATAAAAGCCAAAGATTGCCATGCTGGATGAGAAGCAACATATACACTGTTTTTAAGAGACATGCTTTAAATAAAAAGACAGATTGAATGCAAAAAAATGCAGAATAGCACGCCACTCCGACACAAGCCACCAGAAGGCTGCTGTGGCTGTTATTATTATAAAAACAAGTAGATCCTAAGGTAAGATCTACTGGAGGAGAAGAGGGACATTTCCTAATGATGAATAAGCTGTTCGACAGAAGCACAAAGCAACCCTAAGTTGTATACACCTAACAACACGGCTTTGTACCACGTGAATGAAAAATGAGCAGAGCGAAGGAGGAATGAACCCGCACCTCCGCTACGGATGCTGACAACCCCCTCTCAGCAACTGATCCGATAAGCAGGGAAAAAAACCAGTAACGTAGGAAACCAGTAGAGTAATACGATTTACCTTCGTCTGAGCAATGAGCTTGACGGAGCAGAAAATCCCCCCTGCCCCCGCCCCCGCCGGATCTCCATGACACGGGCTGTCACCGCGCGTTGGCAGAGTTGTGATTGATTCATTATTAGGAAGGTTCCCCCTCATGCTCATTACACAGACTTTTTTTTAAAAAATAGATTTTATTTATTTTAGAGCCAGAGAGCAAGAGAAAGCGTGAGTGAGCAGGGGAGGGACGGAGGGGGAGAGAGAGAATCCCAAGCAGACTCGCAGCTGAGCAGGGGGCCTGACACGGGGCTCGATCCCGGGACCCCGAGATCATGACCTGAGCCCAAATCAAGAGTCGGTGCGTCCCCGAGGAGCCCCCAGGCGCCTCCAGACTTGCTCTCACGGGAGTCGCTGGCAGGCCGACCTCCTGCTCCCACCGCCCGGAGCTTTGGCCTCAGCGCCCGCGGAGGAAGGAAGGGGCCAGGCCGCGAGGATCTGAGCGCCTGAGAGGTACAGAAACAGACCAGGATTATGACAACAAAGACTTGTTACGGGGGGTTTGTGGTTCAGAAGCCAGAGCAGCGTGAGCGTAGGAGCCAGTGTGGTTGATGACTAAGGACAGGAGTCAGAGTCCAGACCAGGCACCTGGGGCCGCCGGGCTTCCCCGCCTTGAAGCACGGGTGAGGTAAGGCTGTAAAAGGGGAAATGAGATAAAGAGTGGGCCAGGAAAGTTACGGGAGGCCATGGGGTACAGAGGTTAAGAGGATAGACTTTGGAGCCACACTGCCTGAGGTGGGTTTTTTTTTTTTTTAGGATTTTATTTATTTATTCATGAGACATGGAGAGAGGCAGAGACCCAGGCAGAGGGAGAGGGAGAGGCAGGCTCCATGCAGGGAGCCCGACATGGGACTCGATCCCGGGACCCGGGGTCACGCCCTGGGCTGCAGGCGGCACTAAACCGCTGAGCCCCCCGGGCTGCCCCGTATGGACATTTTTAAGGCTCGCGATGCACGCTGCCAACCTGGGTCTCCAAAAGTTGGGCCCATTGACACCCCCACTGGTGCTGTGTGGTGTACTTCCCGATTTTAAGGTCTTTTAATTGGAAAACAAGGCTCCCAAACTGCCTTGCCTCTGTTACAGATTCGTTTCCCTGATCCTCTAGGCCTGCTTTCTTTCAGGCTTTCGGGCCTCCTCCGGGGGGTCATTCGGGCCTTAGGAAGCGGTGGCCTGTGTGGTTTCCCCAGTACTGGCTCCTGTGGGAAGCTCAGCCCATGCCCCTGCCCCACCCCAGCCCCGATGGATCGAGCCCCCTCGGTGGTCAGGCTGAGGACCCGGAGGGGTGCTGCACCCCTTGCTCTGGGACTGCCCCGAGCACTGCAGTCCCCTTCGGGGAGGAAGGACAGCCCGTCATTTTGTAGATCTGAGGTCGAGTCGAGTCCACAGGCTGCTTACGAGGATCACCCGGTTGGGAAGAACCAGCGGCGCGGCCTGTTGGTTGACGCGGAGCGTGTATTGGCTGCAGCCCGCGCTCACGTCTCGGATGTTTGCAGACAGAAGCCCCAGCTATCACGAAGGAGCCTTCCAGCGTGTGACACTGCATGGATTTTAAACTTCCATTCATATTAAACAGAAATTACTTGCGTGTCCAATTGTCACCGTAAGATTTTCATCCATCCAACATTTTAAAGTAAAAGAGTAGCTGCCTCCCTATGCTTTTGGGATAAGTAGCCACGTCTCCATGACCCACGCGACTTTCTGGTCTTATTTCATGCAAACCTCCCCCCTCAAACCTCCTTGACCTTCTTTGTAGACCTGAGAAACAGCATGTTCCCTCTGGCCTCAGGGCCTTTGAACATGCCCTTCCCATTGCCTGGAATAGTCTGCTTCTTCCCGGAAATAACTTCTGACCCAGCAAGTTCCACCTCAGGACCTTCCTCTGCTCAATGGGAGCTCTTAGATGAGCTAAAAAATCACACCTTAAGAAAAGGCTCTCCCCGGTGGCCCAGACCATTTCTAGACCCTCTGACGTGTATCACGGCATCTTGGATTTGGGTTGTGATGTTTTGTAGTTTGCAATTCAGTGTTTACCCAGGTCCTTGTTGTTACCTGTCTGTCTCCGTCTTTCAGCCCCATGTGGGAGGGGATGGCTTTTCCTGGCCGCTGTGGGCTCGGCTGCAAGCTCAGTGCAAGGCAACTGGACTCGCTGAATGAGGTGCCTGGAAAATGGCCATAAGACAGCTGACGGCTTGGCTAGGTTAGTGGGGTGGCTGCGCATCTTTGCGTGCAAGCTCCTTACAAGGGAACACAGTATTTCTGATGCCTTAGAAGAGTGTCATTCACAGACGTGCAGGTTTCTCACCCACAAGAGATTGGGCCTTGATTCCACCTTTGCCTCAGTCTCATTTAAAAAGGGAAACAAGGAAAAAAAAAGGGGGGGGGGAACAAGGGTGGGGGTGACTGGGTGACAGGCACTGAGGTGGGCACTTGATGGGATGAGCACTGGCTGTTATTCTATATATTGGCAAATTGAACACCAATAAAAAATAAATTTATAAATAAAATAAATAAAAAAATAAAATAAATAAAAAAAAGGGGAACAATATCTTTACATTTCCTTCATCCTAAGACACCATTGACTTTGGGATGACTGTCTTAAAAACAAACCATACCCCCCCAAAAAAAAGCATCGCTCCCACATTAAATGTACATATTGACTGCAAAACACCCAATTCTTGGACATGTTAGCATAAAAAAAGAAACATCTTAGAATTTGGATGGCATTTGGAGTCCGTGCCACCAAGGATGCTGGTGGAAACAGAGAAGCGTGCGTGTTGAGTGAATCGCTAAGTGCCTTTTTGGGGTTTTCATGAAATCACACGGGAGCTTCTCTACGAGATCACCGCTGAGTGTTTCTGGTCCCACCCCCGGGGGACTCACCTCACGCGGACTCCGCACCCCTGTCCCTCCCAGATGAGTCCCAACACTACAACCCAGCACGGTGCTGCCCTGCAGGCATCCATCTCCGTCTCAGTTTCGCTCCTCTCGCTCCCCTCGAGTGTCGGGCGAGGCTGGAAAGGTCCACGGCCGCGGAAGACATTGCTCTTCGTTAACACGCAGAGAGTAAGGTCAACCCCCTAATTAGGCCGGTGTCTGACACGTTCCCACGTCAGGATCCCAGGCTCATTTCCTAGCTTTCCCACAGCTCAACCCTGGTTTATTCCTGACTCCCTGCTAACCTCCCTGATTCCATCTCCTCTGCTTTCTGGAATAATCTCACTCACTCTGACCTCCCTTCGCATACTGTCTGGGCTGATCTACGCTCTCGGCTCTCGACTCCAGGCTTCTGGCTTGGAATGTAGTCAGACGAGCACTGAGCTGTTCCTTCTAGACTAAACTCCTTGGAAGCTGGGGCTCCACCTTATTTATCTTTACCTTTTAAAGATTTTTATTTATTCTTGAACGACACACAGAGAGAGAGAGAGAGAGAGAGAGAGAGAGAGAGAGAGAGGCAGAGACCCAGGCGGGACGGGAGGACCGGGAGCAGATGGGGTCGGGGACCGGGGCCGAGGGCACAGTTGGGTGAGGCCATGCTCCCCGGGCCGCCCTGCTCCCTGGAGCTCCTGGGGCACACAGAGCACCCACTGAACACCCCTGGCCTGAAGACCTGGGCTGACTCCACTTTTAAGAAAATAGTGTCGTAGAGAATTATCCTAAGCTAGAAACCTCGTGATACGTGGAAACGGAAGTTTATGTATTTGAGGGGACCCTAATAAAGCACATCTGCATGCAACATGGCTTATTCTGTTCCAGGGCTCCCTAGGGTTTTAGGTGGGCTTTTGAAGTAGTGATTTTTTGCATCTTTTAAAATTGTGTACAGATATGATTTCTAAGTCTAATACCTCTTCTTTTTCAGTAACTGAATTGCATTTGTATCTTTATCCGGTGGCAGATGTGTTTCTGAGCATTAACTGCACCGTAAGTCAACGACATGGTCTTGCTGATTGGTAGATGATTTTCAGATTTCTTTTAATTACTGAAAATATGAAAGATAGCAATTCCGAATGAACGACAACAAAGTAAAAAAGCCCCAGTATGTGTAACGACAGGCTCAGAGGTCGGGGGATGTGGGTTCCAGCCTCAGCCTGCAGATGCTTGAACTTGATCGTGGGGAGCACGTTGTTTTCTCCTCTCACCCCCTGCCTCTCAGCCGTAGAGCACAGACGGGAGGGTCCTGTCACCCCAGAGATGCAAAGAAATAAAATGTAAAAATCTCCGCAGACAAAAAGGCCATATGCGCATTCAAATTAAATTGTGAGCCGAGGGGCTCCTGGATGGCTCAGTGGTTGAGCATCTGCCTTCGGCCCAGGGCGTGACCCCGGGGTCCCGGGATCGAGTCCTGCGTCCGGCTCCCTGCATGGAGCCTGCTTCTCCCTCTGCCTGGGTCTCTGCCTCTCTTTCTAGGTCTTATGAATAAATAAATAAGTAATCTGTAAAAAAAATAATAAATTGTGAGCCAAAGATGTTTCTAGGTGCTGCGGTTTCTGTGTAGGTTCCTTATAGAGGAAACTCCATCTCAGTGACAGGTTGCAGATTGCTCATCTGTTATAAAAGTCGGCAAAAATCCTTTATCTTTCCCTCTTTCCCTGCAATCCCACCTTCATTTTTCAAGCACCGCAAGAAATGGCCTTGCTTTCGGGGACAGACGTCTCGCGGGTGGCCATTCTGTGTGTGTTCTGTGTCGCCTCAAGCCTTTGCTCCGTGCCGCTGGCGTCCCAGGGGAAGGTCGCCTGTCGGACTGCTCCACGGAATGAGGTCTTACTCCTGAGCCTAGTTTTTCCTGCATTATTTTACCAGAGGCCAGTAGACATCAACAGGTAGATAACCTCTCCTCAAGCTTTGGAAGGTTTCTTGGGTAGAGGCTGTTCAGCCAGAACTGTCACTCTCCAGCTCTTTCCAAATCGTGTGATTTTTATCAGAATAGAGTTATTTGCCTTAAGGATTTTTCTAAACCGATTACTTTCCTATAAGAGACTTCCAATTGAAATAATACGTTTCTCATTATGTAGTTACTTTCATCGCTGGAGACTCAAAATACTTGAAAAATACCTTAAACTCCTCCGCAAGGACCACTGTCGCGTTTGTAGACTTCACACGTGGGGACACGCGGTGACCGTCTGATACCTTGCCGTCCTATTAATAAGATCCCGAAGCAGCCAGGAGTCCCTGCACCCTGACTGTCACGGCGCTCTGCGGGATGCTGGGTCGCCCCGGCCGGGGCTGCAGGGCGGTGGCCGTCCTAGAGGAGCATCACCGGCCGCCCCGACCTGCAGGTGCCACCCGGCCCCCACTCAGCCCAAGGGTGCCCTGGCCCCGGCCCCAGGCCCCAGCCCCTTTGCTTCCCCGTGCACTTGCCGGAAGCCTGGCCACGGGGCTGGAACCCAACCTGCAGGCCCGTCCCTGGGCTGCAGCCGCGTCTATGCACACCCGGGGCCCCGACTGCTGCCACCGTCTCAGATCCCCCGAGGACGCTTCCTTAGCGCCTTCCGTTTGAGACATTGGGCACTGCTCGGTGGCCGGGAGGTTTCTGTCCTCCTGGAAGGTGAGAAAGTGTCGTCGAGTGGGAGAGTGACCATGTGGCCTGGACGGGAATCTCCACAGGGCTTCGCTTTACAGTGCGAGGGTTTTTAAAGATTTTATTTATTAGAAAGAACGAGAGTGAGTGAGAGAGGGAGAGAGAGCAGGGGGGAGGCAGAGGGGGGCAGGGGCAGGCTCCCCACTGAGTGCAGAGCCTGACCCGGGGCTCGACCCCGGGACCCTGAGGTCACGACCTGAGCCAAAGGCAGACACTGAACCAACGGAGCCCCCCAAGGCGCCCCCACAAGATTAAGATTAATCTTCATTAAAATTAAAAGCAAAAGAGATCTTTCTAGAACTGATATATTTTTACTTAAAAACAGTTGCTTAATCCAAGGTGGGCTTTTCTCCCCTTCCACAGGGAAGGCCTCTTGGGTATTAATGGAGCTTAGTGGGTATAGTTCTTTTATTCGCAAGACGCCAGCGCCTAGGACGATCCATTTCAGTAGCTAAGGGAAATTTCTCCTCGAACTCCAGTGTCTCACAAAATGTTAATCGTGGTTTCATGAGAAAAGGATTTTTTCAGGCTGTATTAATCAGGGTTCTCCAGAGAAACAGAACTGTTAGGGTGTATATAAATAGAGCTTTATTATAAGAAATCAGCTCACGTGGTTATGGAGGCCGACAGCTCCAAAATCTGCAGTGTGAGCCAGCAGGTGCAAGACCCAGGAGAGCCGGTGTCCCAGTGAGGTCTGAAGGCCTTATGCTGGGAAATTCTCTCTTGGCTGGTCTTCTTGTTCTACTCGGGGCTCCAACTGATTGGATGAGGCCCACTCACATTGTAGAGGGAATCTACTTCCATCACAATTTACTGATTTAAATATTACTGTCATCCAAAACACCCTCTGAGTCGAAAAATAAAACTAACCGTCACAAATCCGCCCTTTGTCAACCTGGCACCTGTAGGCATCGCTTTAAACCATACGTAACCACCAAATTAAGACAATAACAAGGTCATAATTCTGCAGACGAGATACAAAGATCACGTATACAATCTAATACCCGCCAACTCTCTCTCCAGATGAGGCCGCAAAGTCCTGGAATGATCTTCATTCTTCTTGGTACCCTGTCGCCTAAATACGATGATGTAAAGTCAACAACACTTACTATGACACAAAATCAATACATCTTGTGTTACATGAAAAGGGGATAAGAGGGGGGGAAACGGAAGTACTTGCTTCATGCACGCACACACCCCTACACAAACACACACACATTCAAAACAAAATGAGGAAATACTCCTGCAAATTGCAGTCCTCATTCCTGCAACTGGCCACGTGGTAGTAGTTGGCACCGGCAGCGCCCTTCTTTCACCATCTATCCTGTATTCCCTTTGCCTTTGGCCAGCATCACCATCTGAGCTGCTCATGGGTTTTGTTGTTGTTGTTTTTAACCTTGTGGGGTAATCCACACCTTCATTCCTGAAGGGTCTGGGCCATGAGTAGTCCTGCCTGGATTGGGTTGTTATGCTTTACCAGTGATCTGCATCACAGGTCACGGTAATCCCACCGTGAGGGCCCTCCCGTCTCCCAGGGATGCTCTTCCTCAGCTCCACTGGGAGCAGCAGCCCAATTGTCCCTTGGTGGCCAGGATGATGACTCCAGCCCGTAATGTGACTCCCTATTTTGCCTATTGCTTTGGGGGCATGAGGAGCCCAAAATGGCCAAGTAGCAGCCTTAGCTTCTGGTTCAGTGGAATCATTGTTGTGTCTCCTGGTGGAAGCATTCCTCCCTTTGGAACTAGGACATCTAGGCCAGCAGGCCTGGAGTATAAGGCCCTGGGGGCAGGAAGCAGAAGCTTTGTAGGTGGGTTACTAGAGGTAAGAGTGAGTGATGCCACCTGGACCTGTGAATCCTAGCTCTCCGAGACCACAGCAGTGTGTGTTAGGAACCGATTTAGAGCACAGACAGCCCCCTGGAGAGCCTTGCTCCCGGCCCTCAAAGGGCTACGGCCTAGCTGGCGCTGTAACTCAGTCTTCAGAAGGGCGTTTTGCCATTCCACTGAACCAGCTGTTTCAGGGCGATGGGGAACATGGTAAGACTGGTGCGTTCCTTGAGCATGGGCCCACCGTTGTACTCCGTTTGCCCTGAAGTGGGTTCCTTGATCAGAAACCGTGCTGTGGGGAACGCCATGATGGTGGAGAAGGTGTTCTGTGGGTTCATGGATGTTTTGGAAGTTTTGGAAGAAGCGTTCCATGTAGGGAAGGCAAGGCTATATCCAGAGTAAGTGTCTGTTTCAAGAAGAACAAAATGCCGCCCCTTTGTGACGGAAGCTGTCCAACGAAGTCAACCTATTGCCAGAGAGCTGGCTTATTGCCTCACTTACGTACCAAGTCTTTATTAGTCAGGGTTTTCTGGAGAAATATGAGTGATGGGTTGTATATACATGGAGAAAGAGATTTATTAGAAGAAACTGGCTCGCACACTTATGGAGGCTGGCACGTCCAAAATCTGTGGGCTGGCAGGGTTGAGATCCAGGAGAACAGATGACTCAGTCCCAGTCTGAAGGCTGGAGACTAAGGAAAGCCAGTGGTGCAGATGGGATGTGAAGGCATCTGCTAAAGAATCCCATTTTGCTCAGGAGCCCAGTCATTTGTTCTAGTCAGGCCTTCAGCTGATGGGCTGAAGCCCACACACATCATGGGGGACGATCCACTTTACTCAGAGCTCACCAATTTGAACGTTAATCTCATCCAAAAACACCTTCC